CCGACGCCCAAGCAAATTCGCAATAGTAATTCATCAAATAATTCTCAGCAACGGGACGCTAAAGTCGCCACTGGCGGAGCTACGCAAAATACTCACCATCAACACTCTCAGAGTACTGTTTCGAATATATCGAAGGCACAGCAGCAGGATGGCATTGGCAGCTTGCAGTTTGCGCAATCGGGAGGACAGCACGGACATCAGCAGAATATGCAGCCCTTGGACTACATACCTATTCCGCAGATTAGTCAAAACTTTTCAACTAATCCATCAAACTATGACATAGTCGGTATGCCGGCTGTCATTCAACAACGAATGTCCCTGAATAGCTCAGTGCATTCGCTACCGAACTCTCATCAACGCATTGAACAACCCTCGTCCGCTTGTGCTGTAAATAACTTTTATTTACAAAATAATATGCCATCCAATGAAATCGTATCGAACGCATCTCGTATACCAGTGTCAACTACGTTAGGGCCCCCATCTTCCATAGCTAATAATGATCAGTCCATATCATCGAACAGTGGGGGAACGACACCAGCTGTAGTGGGTCATTTATGTAGTCTTTCGAAGCTCCAGCAGCTTACTAATTGCCTTGAATCTCAGCCATGTAATACGTCCCCGGGAGCACAATCGAATTTAGCACCATCGCCGCACCATCCAATTCCACCCAATTCAATGACACCACCACCGCATTTGATAATGCAAAACAGGAACGTTTCGACGCCACCCAATATGCTACAGACACAAGTAACTCCCCTACAATATCATAAATATTATGCAAGCAACATGAACATCACGCCGAGCACATCGACGCAGAACACCAACAGGAACACTCGAAACACACCCTCTGCTCCCATTCAGCATACTTCGGCGGCAATCAGCGGCAGTTCGAACAACCGCACGGCGAATGTCCATATCAGCCCCAATCTGATGTCGCACTATAACGCCATCAATACCTATCGAATGTCGCCGCAGCAGAGTCCACCGGCCACGGCGTACAGTTCGGGCGGCGAATATCCCAATTCTCAGATTCCGATGCAAATGGGCGTAATGAACATGCAATCTCAGTACCAGGACGCGTGCGTGTTACAGCGAGCTACGCAGCCCAATCCGATGTATCCAACGTACTCGCCATACTTGCCGTCAATACGCAGATAAAAGAAATCGTCATCTTACACAAAGTATTATGCAAATATAATATTTTCCTGTATTACTTGTGTTGTGAATAAATATAATTTCTGCGAATTCAAATATAAAACTAATAAATATCTATTTATTTATGACTTTGTAACTTATCATAAACTGTTGTGTGTTTGGTACTTCTTCTATAATTTGTTTGGGAGTAAAATAAAGTAAGCTCTATGTAAGCATAGCAGGATCTGCTGAGTTATTAAATAGAAACCCTTCAATAACAGTATAAGTTTGTTCATTATAGATTTTTTACAAAATAAACTGTACATGTGGGCTTTCTATTGAAAGTCACTTAGATATACAATATAATAAACCCATAACGACCTGTAAAATAACTTAATATTACCATGGATAATGATTTAGCATCCCTACAAAATTGTACAACTGACTCGACTTCATCGGTGCAATCGGAAGTACCGCCGAAGATAATATCGAAGAAGGAAAAGGAACTTATAGCCAATAAAGACATTATAGATCACGATGAATCGCCGAAGTGCTCGAATATCATCACATCCACCAGTACTTCATCTTCTACTACAATCTCAATTGGCGCCTTCAATTCAAATACCCAATTCCAAAGAGCATCTGGCCATGAGCCGCCACACATTGGCTACGAGCTGAGCGTGGCCAAGTCTATCTTGCAGCAATACAGCACATTGAGCGGAGATAACCTGTAAGTGAGAAAAGTTTTTAGCTCTATTTAGATAAACAATAAAGTTAATCTTACCTGTACATTTCCTAGATTCGATCATTTGAGTGACATAGTAAAGCGCGTCGTTGACGAACGTCCTCCGAATGTTATTGATTTCTTTGAAGAGTTCAGTCGAAATGTACGCGAGCAGAAATTCCATGTGCCGGAACGCTTTCCGCCCAACGCCGTCTTTGCCGACTGTCGCATGTTCCGTCCCGCAAAGCGCATATTGCACTCAATAAAGGTAAGCGTGCTGTAAATAGGTCTATGTCAAGAAATGATCCAATTTAGTCATTTAGCTACCACATAATGCTGAAGGCTCTGACCTCGGCGGGGATGAGGACTTTGGCGAAGAGGCGTACACATACGCCGATGGGGAGCTGCAAATAGACCTTGACGATAGTATGCGCTTGTTCGTATCCTTCAATGAACGTGTCGAGCAGCTGCAGTTCTTTTGGAACCAGTGCGGCTTTACAATCAGCAAAGACGATATTTTCCAATTGGCAAGCTCTATTAACCGACTGCAGACCCATCCGTCCATAATGCAATGTCGATTTTGGGGCTGCATTAATGGCTTGAAGGCCTCGTACTACATTGTGGAAGCCTCTCTCACTAGAGAGGAGATTAGCTCACGCCTGACAATGATGGAGGAGGAAATGCGCGAAATGCAACTGCCTTTCAAGATGAGAAAGAATCAAGAGCCGAATCCTTTGCCCACACATATAGGTCCAGAGCTAACTCCAGGAGTTTATGGATGGGAGAATTTTTCACCCGAGGACTTGGAGAAAATGACACCAAAAGCTCCGCCAGTGCCCTTGGCAGAGGAAATTGAGTTCTACGACATTCCACCGGAATTTGTGGGACTGGGCTGCAATCGATACTCATACTTTGTCGTCAACAACCTCTATGATGATTGGATTGAATTACCCATTGTGACACCTCGGCAAATTGTTGTTTCTCGTCAAATCAAGAAGTTCTTCACTGGCGACTTGGAGTCTAGTATCGTATCGTATCCATGCTTTCCCGGCAAAGAAAAACATTATTTACGTGCCATAATTGCTCGTATTACGGCTAGCACACATATCGCACCGCAAGGTTATTATAGGCGCATGACTAAGAAGGAAAAAGATCTATTTGATGGCGTCAACGTGGACGACGAGGAGGAGGAGCAAGAGGAGGAAGAAAATTACAATGAAGGCGAAGAAGATTCAATTCAAGGTAATCTACTCGAATCGATCTCATCTTCTACTTGATTTCATACAAATTAAGCCAATTCAGTTGGATAACATAACTGGCACACTAATACAACAGTCAAAATAACATGTAAACTAAAGTTTCTTCTAAGCATTTCTGCTAAGTATTTCCTCTAAAATTTCATCTAAGTATTTGCTGTCCGAATTTCTAATGAATTTCGTAT